ACAATCTCCCTTTCACACACATGGAGATTTTACTGCGACTGTTGCGAGAAATTCTGAGAAAATCTCCGAGACAAAATCGAAATGAATTAGGATCAGTGGAGTACGCAGAACGACGTAATCTGGATGCAAAAGAAAAACTACGGAAGCTGTAATACGAAATTAATTAATAAACAAACGATATTGATTTGTATTGGTCCACGGTAAAAATCGAAACAAAGAATATTCTATTTAATTTAACTAACTGAATGAAGAAATTACACTTCGATTAGAAATATTTTATTCTTTTTTAATTGTTCGATCACGAAGACCATATGGGGTTTTAGAAGCAATTTCCATAATTTCGAGCAAGGAAACGAAATTGATTACCATCGAGCTTACAAATTTTCAGAAACAGGGTCTGAAGACAGGGAGCGGAGGCGAACACGCACGAAGAATGTTTGACAGTGATTCATGAAACTCGATTAACTTTTCCATCATCCTGCACCCGTCCCTACGGCGCTATGCAACGATACGTCCTTCATCTCGATGTTTCCGTGGAACGTGCGATCATCGATTTAATGCAAAATCGATGAATCGTTCGGCGTAATGCATCCTCGGAATTCCGCGCCGCTTCCCACGAAACTTTCGCAGTTGCCTCGATATTTTTCGAGCTTTATCAATGCACTGTGAATCGATTCGGGCTAAATCTTAACCCGGGGTCAGTGAAGGGTCACCCAAGCTCTATAAACCCGCATAAACCCGAAATCTACTCCTAGATATCCTTCAAATATTTAAAATTCCTTGATTGATTCCTTGATTCCTTTTCTTTGTTCGTCGAATTTTGTATTCAAACCGTTTCATAATCGCGGTTTAAATTTCCGGACGAACGAAATTCAGCGATAACAAAGATAACGCGAGGAGATTCAATTAAAACCGAGGCTCTTGACTGGAAGAATAGCGGAAGTGCGAAAACCAGGCGCTTAAGCAGGAAGAATCTTTCGGCAAAACGAGGCAAAGGATGTTGACTTACCGGCCAATTACTCGTTTTCGTTAATTACCGCAGATGAGCTGACATTTCTGACAGGGTGGAAAAGCCTTCTCAAATGATTCGAGGTTCTTTCTTCAGATTATACTTGTCGACTACAATTCTGGATTGTTCGATAGGGTTTCTTGACATGAAAAATAAGATTAATATTTATTATTCTTTCCTTGCTGGTATTATGGAGCAAAACTTATATTTTTTTAAATACATATTGTTTTTACGTGTTATTAAGATAGAAAAGTTTCTTCGTAAAACGAAAGCTGAGCATAATAATTATTATTATCGATAAATTTAATAGTATCAATCTCAATAACGCCGAAATATTTACTATGGGCGATTTTTATTTTATATTTTCATTTACATACGTGTTAATTGTTTTAACGAATCCGTCCGAGAATTCAACGATCAACATAAACCAATAGAAGATCGACGAATTAGTGATATAAATCTCTCGGAAATTTCATAAAACGTAACGTGTTCAACGATTTAACGGTGAGAATATCGAGTGTAACGTGAAAAATGTATGAAATATTCTCGATTTAACATTTCAGGAATTCAACACGTAGGAAGTACGGCATATTTCAGACATTACGCGCGAATATTACGAAGAGGAGTCGGTGTTAACGTTAACGAAATTCAGATATTAATACAATTACACAGAATTGAAAAACGAAATAAAGTTTTTCCACCGAATATTGAAGTTTCGAAGATGACAATAAAAGCAAACGAAAACAAAGGACCGTTTAGACAATAAATTTCGCGTCGCTTGTGTCGAATACAATAAATCTGCAGTCATATATGACAATATGGAAAACTTGAAAATATCGTCGTCTCGTGAAATACGGTCGGTGAAAAGAAAAATCGAAATATTCTGTGTCGGGTGAACCGGAAAATCCAATTGACGTTTCAAGCAAGGAGTTTCCATTGGTCGAACATGACCGGATATTTGTTTGGAAAAAGGAGCATCGAGAGCACAGGATACGAAGACTCGAGCAAGAAATCGTGTTATTTCGCCTATCACGATGCCAAAACATTCTTCAGTTAAACCATAAATTCGCTAAACAAGCTCTCCTCCAATTTTACTCTCCTTAATGCTTCCGTAAATTAAAAATTGTTATCCGTTATTAGCAAATAAATTCCCCCAACGCTGCAACCCAACGAGCTTCGAGACGTGTCAATAATTAATTCGTTCGCCATGGAAGTTGGGCAGGGCCAAATTATAATTTGGCCACCAGTCGGGAAAATGGAGTCGTAGCTAAGGGCCGTCGTGCATTATGTAAAAGATAATCTCTCGTAGAAATCGTGAATAATTCGCGAACACCTGCCACGAGTTTTAAATATTCATACGCGAGACTTTCTTTCGGATTACCGCTGCCGCGCAAATTTTATATTCACCGGGAAATTATAACTCGGGGAAGGAAAGATTATTCTCTTCGCGGAAGATGAATAATTTTTCAATTACTTTTAGATCGTGGTCGACGAGATTACCAACGACGTTTTTCAATTTTTAGAAATAAATATAATTCGTTCTGTTACAAAATTAAAAAAGCTTTCTGGAAAACGACAATGTTTTTAATACGAAAAGAGTTTCCTTTTGCGAATCGTAAACGTGCAAATTTTTTAATTTACGTCCAGTGAATCGTTTCGATAGGACAAAAATAATAATGGCAGTTATTACATGGTAGATCTTGGAAAAAGCTTTGATCGGAGGTTACTAAAATATTACGAAACGTTTTACGCATTAGATGTTTAAAAGATGGAGAGGGATTGCTCGAACCACGAATGCTGACGGTGATTGGAAAAAACTTGTGCGACGCGGTTTTGTGATAAAAAAATACATTTCTCTCGAAAGCAGTCAGACACGTAAAGAACTCGAGCGATCCTACAGGTGGTTGGGAATGAACTCGCTGAACTAGAGATCGTTCAGGACAAGTTACGCGAATAGAAAAGTTCTTTGAAGCGTTCGAACCGAACCACTTCGACTCGTAATAACGTCGAATCGAAAAGTTTAAACAGTTCCACGAGTCTTAAAACTCTATCGAGAAAAGTGCTGCGAACGGTCGAGCAATATTGCTGGGGAATTCCTAACCGAAGTTCGTAAGATAAAGCAGAAGACTCCATTTTGGCAGACAGTGGCGATGAACCAATCGTGCGATTCAAAATGGCCTAAAAATGTCGAATAAACGCTGTCGATCTTTGAACTATTGTAACTTTGCGAAACAATTTTCCTGGGGTCATTTTGAAGTTTCAATCCCCCATCTTCTCGAAGTTCCTTTTTCGCTTGGGAATTAAGTGAGAAAGTGAAGTGAAAAGTCTCCAGAACCTTTTTATATTAAAAAACTGTATCAATTTGAATGTTAAAAGACACAGTGTCGATGATAGTCATAAGATGTGTGTATGAAATTTTAATCGCCAGCAAAATCCCAGTAAGGGAATTATTCAGTGGATGTTAGGAATTACGATTGCGTACATTCGTATGTATCCCATTCTGAATATTCAATGAATTCCTCTTGATCTGCTGGTACGATTAATATCAAGATGGAAATCCCAAAAGGACCAAGAGAACTGCGAGTGGTCGGCTTTGATTTCACCCAAGATCACCTTCAAGGTAGATCAAAGAGCCACGTCACACATCTATCGAGTGTTTCCTGTTCCTAGGCGGTATCAGTTTAATTACAGCGGGCTTTGCAATTAGTACACTCGCCTGCTGACATTCTGTTAACTTCCTAAACTCAATAAACCCGGTCCTTTGACTGGCCGGCTACTTTTCCGGAAGGAAATTCCGATTAGTTCAGAACAGAGCGGCCAGCAGCAGCATACACCGCTGAATTTAAGTACCGAAATTTAGTAATAATTACGTTTAATTCACGAAGTTTTCTACGTATTCAACATTCTCTCCAAATTTAGCTCCTTCGGTGAAATATTCCGACATCCATATTTCCCAGTCAACGTTTTATTTCATTTTTTTTCCACAGGTACAGAATAAATAGTTTTCACTAATTAACGTCTAAATTACCACCAACAGATATATCCGATTTCAACAAATACCCTACGTATTTTCAGAAAATTTTAACGTCGAGGCACTTCCAATTAAAACGAGCCCAGACACGACCTCGTTCAGACTAATTTAAATTCCACGTTACACGAATTAATTTTGGAAAATTTTTTAACTACGTATAATTAAACATTTTTTGAAAGGGTTCATTTTTGCGAGAACATCACCGATCCGTTGATAATTCAGTCGGATCATTCTGCTTCTCTATAATCTCCCATATTTTATTCGTTTATATTCCAAATCAGTTTAAAATTTAAAATTAATTTCCAGACGCAATTTTATAATAAAATTCCTCCCATTTCGCCATTAAAAGAGATCGTTCGATAAGATCTTCTTGTAAAATGCAAAGAGATTCTCGTCGTTACTTACTAATAATTGAAAGGAATTCTCGGAGTTTACGGTTCAGAAAATTCGGTTACTTCTCATTGCGTTTTCCTGCGAAGTTATCGGGAGTATTCACATTGAAATTCGAAAAACGTGTAATGTTATGAAGGATCTTGCTGCAACGTTTGAGTTATATTTATTTTATTTAAACATTCCCAGCAACAGAATTCAACGTCAACGCAATTCCCCTTGACGCTGCCATTTCCAAACATGGCGCTTGTGAAAACAATCAGCAGCTTTCACGTATAAAACGGCTAACGTTTCTCGTTCAAAATGTTACTTTTTTCGAAGTGTCATCGTTCAAAAAAATTGTCAATATTTTCTCTGTAGCCCCGAATGTAGCCATAGTCAAACCTAACGAAGTCTCCTTTTATCAAAACCAAGTGATCTGAGCAAAAATGAATAAATAAATGTTGATTCGTTTTTGTACCACATTGGCTGCCCAATGATTTAGATTTCTAAAATATGGACGCGTGTTTATGAATTGCATTTTATGCCCGACGAATCGTCCCTAAATTTAACGATGATTTTTCATTCCAGTTGCTGAGTTCCATCGTTGTAGTGGGTGGAACCAACATGGCGGGTGTGCTGACACATCATCCCCGTGAGCTGGCACAAAGGCAAGCGTTCCTTGAGACCAGACAATGCGTCGAGGCTCGTCTGACCACGCAACGAGAAAATCAGCAACAGGTACGTCTCTGAAATTACAACCGGTTAGCGAAACAACCGCGTTTCCCTTCGACCTAAAAACCAACGACGCCGTACGCGCGTATCCCTAGACGACAGCCTCCATTAACACTGGAATTACCGACATCAACCTACTTCCAGAGGCATCAAAACAATTTGTTTTGTAAAAGAACAACCATCACAATGGCAAAAATTCTGTTCGTTTCGTAAGCCTTCCTTTTCTGAGGCCCAAGAACGTCGTGAACAAAGTATAAAATTATGTATTAGCAGAAAGAAGTTTGATCTCCAATTTTTAATTTAGTTTTAAAGCTTCGAACGTGCAGATTTTCTGTTGTGATCGAGTAATAGTTACAGTTTTAATTGCACAGAAACACGCCAAAATGTTATCCGTAATACGGCAACATTTTGCGGACAGTTTCGTACACGTGCCTCATGATTATGCCATAAATAATTATCGAACCTCATTAATTAACCCGCTAGCGAGTAAAGGGAAAGCCGTACGAACTATAATAACGTCAATTTCGTTAGGTTGTTTCGTCGATGCCGATGAAACTTTCAAGTTAAACGCGTTACGAACATCGACTTCCCAATTTGGAAGTTTTCACGCGGGCATACGAAACGATCGAGCGTGAATATCGTCAAATTTTCACCGTTTTCGCGTTGAAGTTACGGCCAGAATTTTTTGAAAGCTCTAGTCATTTTTGTTTCGTTTGTTTCTGTTTATTCCCGAGTAAATAAACGTTTAATCGCGACGCAACGGTCGACTCGTCTGTAAACAATACGCGCGTCGCTCAAAACAGACGCGACGTTCTGTAAACAATTTTTAGCGAACCTTCACTTTGATAATAAAATCAAAATTTTTTATTCCCGTGCTTTACCATTTCTATTTACATTTTTATCCCTGATGAATACAGATCGATATCAACGTATTACAAATCAATTCGCAAACGTTAAAAATAAAAAATACAGACTTAACTATTTTCGTTTCGTTTAAACGTTTCAACTATTTCTTTTGAAACGTTCGAGGCATTATTTCAATCGTGCTTCCTTTATTTAGAAGCGAAAGCAATTTTTCTGGGTCGAATGTCACGCTATCCTCTCATTTTTCACGTCGTTCTGCGAGCTAATTTCAATTTCCCCTCGCGTTTTCTATTTTACGCAGGCATCCTTTACCGCGTTCACATTTCATAAAATTCTTTGCATCGAAAGCATGTTTTTCCTTCGCGAATTACCATAACAAAGTTCAGCGGGAGGAAAACTGACGGGAAACTATACCTTTGAAAATATCAAAATTATTTCACACGGTTTTAATCTTCGACGCTGTGCACGCTTTTCTTTATACTTCAAACTCACGCTGGAACGCCCGCGAACTCCATGTTAGAAACTAACTGTAATACTTTCTACCTGAGAAAAAGGACCTATAATTCTACTAAATGTAAATTACCTAGGAGAGCACCTTACAAAATTTCACTAATAAAAAACCTTCGTCGTACGATAAAAATGGCGTAACTTTCGACGTTCAGGTACGAAATCAAACGAATTTCAACAGAGGCGACTAAGATATAAAAACGTATGTTTGGATTTTTACAAAAGGGAACGATTCTCGTTAAAAGCCCGCAGCTGCGACAAAATTATTTCATCGCAATTTTCACGTCAGAGAAACATCAAGCAGGAGAAGGGGAAACAGACGCTGCACATCGAGATTTCGCAAACACCAGCACGGAACGTTCATTCAAGTTGAGCAAACTGGACCTCTGGCAAATAGATTGAGCACTCTCTCCCTCTGCAACAAATCCTAGCGTCGACCGAGAAGTTAACGGCGTCCATTTGCAAAACAGCTGCTTGGGAAAAATTCTACATTCGCGCGTTAAATCGTCGTGTTTTAGCAGAGTAAACTGAAAACACCTCGTAAACGAGCCTCGATAAATAGTTTCCAACAGAAACATTTTTATTTCCCTCTACGGCCTCGACTTCAATTAGTCAGGGTATCCCTTGACAATTTAGAGCCCTTCGTTGATACTATACATTTATCTTCCTTAATGTTTTACCAAATAATCACCAAACGATCCAGCTTTTGTTCGAGACAAGTTCCAATGTCGTCGATAGTTTCGAAGATATTCGGGTCGATTTAAATAGACCACCCTCGACGGGGGCAAATACGACCACAAAGAGTTGAATCTAGGTCGCGTTTTCAACTTCTGCCATCTCGCGAAATGCAATTAACGTGCTCCGCCGTGTAAATCTATCGAAGGGACTCCGATGAAAGGCCGTAACTCCGAAACAAAAGGCGAACGAAAATATCTAATAAACCGTATAGAGAATTTATTCGGGGGGGGAAGAGAAAAACACGCGAGACTCCCAAGTATAATATTAGACATCCAATTTCCTAGGCTGTTAACCCGCCGCTTTATTTTCAGCAGCCATGCAAAATAATTGTTAGGAACCGCCGGAAGCCTATTAAAGATAGCGGCGTATCAGCCATCGCTTATAATTCCAGGGAGCGTTTCGCCCGCGACCAGGTCCATTGTGCGCTTTAATCGGGAATACCGTGACCTGCTACGATAATGATCGGCCACTGTCCAAGCTGCTTATTCATCAACCTCGAGACTATATCCTCCTCCTCTTCCTAACTTATCCTCATCGTCCGAACGTCTCCTGAATTGAGATCCACGACTCTTAATTCCTCGAGCTTCACATCCGGTGCAACGTCTTCGTCGGCCTTGTCCACCATCCTGTTCTTCAAACATTTCTTATAACCATGTAATTTTATCTCTGTATCTTTTTCGAGCGTTAGTCATTAGTTCTAAGATCCTTCTAACAGCGAGGACAAAGTTTTCACATTTATCGTGAACGTACGTTCAGTACTTGTCTCATTAAAACCGTACTCTTTCGATTTCTTTTTTCAACGCGGTGAAAATTCCAGGCGGGGAAACGCGGAACGATCCGCATTAAACCGCGAATGCGTCTTGGCGTGTGTTCAACATCCGCATAAACACGCGCTAACCACAGCCAAGAACCGCAAACGAGTTAGCGTAGGTTCAGAGGAAACTGAAGCCGACGCAGCGGCAATTATACATATAGAACAGTTGTGACATTATCGTTCTTATAATGTTTAACGTTTGAACTAGCACCTACAATTCGACCCTTTTCTATTGAAACGGTCAGCAACAGGATGGATTCAATGTATGGCTCGCTGTCCAAAACAAGGTCGCTCTTTGATCTCAGTGATGACTCGTAATTTGTAATGATTTCGGTCGCTTTCAGCGGTTTTTGGACAAATTGACCGCGCTGCAATGTCACATCGAATTACTACAATGTAACCGGATGATCCAGATTAAATACGTGAATAGATCACTGTCATTAAGAACCGTTTTTCTTTAAATACTGTAAATGGGTAGCACGAAATCATTTTCACTAGCGGCTTGGCCTCGCCAGTAGTGAATTCTTTTAAATTACTTAGCGATTCGATTATACAGAGCTTTGTTTCCGTCGTTTAAAAGCTACCAATCGAGTGTTCGTGCACGATAATGCGGCCATTCGCGACAGCAAGTCAGCGAAGACGCTGGAAGACGTGAGTATCCCTAGATTAAAGTAGCCAGGAACCTCGTCTGACATTAATCCGATCGAAAACGTGTGGGGATTAAGAGACCAGGCTTGGTACGAGCTGTTCCCATATCAAATCTAGACTAGTGTCTTCAAAACTGAAATTATTTAAAAAAGCTTCGAGACCAACGAAACGTGGTTCTTCATTGTGGATAGCTTATTTTATTCTGCACAATTAATAATTTTCAAACCTGTAAATATCTCTTTTGTCGGTTGGTATGATTGTTGGCGGTATTACGGACGAAACAATAATAACTCGAACGGCACGATAGACGCAACCTATATAAACGCCAATGCGTTTCACGCGTTTATGAACAATATAGGATTATGCCTGCTGATTAGACAGTGTAACTGTGAGTGTATTCAATAATCGCTACGCGCCCGAACACTTCTACAGAGAAACCTGCTGCTAGATGGATTATAAACAGAACGTAGCAAACATGTGAGAGACGAGTGGAGCGAAATGCGAAACGCGAAGCTTTCTCGTCCGACAAAGGAATTCTACTACAAACGAAATATACGAGTAGACCTTACACCTTATGGACTTTCGTGACCCAGTCTGACTGCCATACCGACCTGAAAATTCGAACGTGCTTTTAGAGTACTCTTCTCATGGATGGTGGTCAGATGAGAAACTATTCGCTGAATTAATATTGATGGGCAGACAGCTGTAGCGTGTGCGTAAATATATGTGAATTTACTATGGGAGGGGTTGAAAGAGGCAAAGGTAGAAATAGTTGATTCTAATGGTCACCTACAATAGTGTGTGGCGCTGCTTCGTTACGGTTAGGATCTCGGGAAATTTGTAGGAGGGCAAAAAAGGAAAGGAACTGGCCTGCTAGTGGACACGTTAGTAAGGCTTTCGAGCAGGCTTTGCCTTAGACGACTAGGATATTGGGAAGTCGGTCGAGGATTATACACATAGCAACGGAGGAGTCGATCGAGCGCTTGTGAGAGCGCGATCCCTCTGGTGGCGAGCATGGGAGGCGATGCCACAAGTGAATGTATTTCATTGAAATTTATTTTTGAAGTAGAACCCATGAATATCTACAAAAAAAAGTATGAAACAACATTCCCGTACAGCATCAGAGAAATTTATTAAAAATCAAAAACGAATTTTTAAAAAAAATCGACGAGGGATAGGTGGAGAAATTTTTGCAATTGCAATCACTTTTGGCGAATAGACATACCCTTAAAATGTGAGGTCAGAAATGTGTTCTCGACACTTATTGTATACCTCGTTTGTGATTCTACTCTCAGGCCCAAAAAGACACATATTTTTCCGTATTTGACACTATAAATCGAAGAATAATATACCAAATAACCACAATATTTCGTTCTTTGGTCGACATGATGCGAGCAACATGGGGTTAAACGCGAACGCTTATCGTCGTATGTACGTTAAGCTTGGCTTCCGTCACTTCCAAAGTCGCGATTCAAGCGTTTGCTTCACTTTAGCTCGCGTATCTGAAATTTTCTTGCTGTCGGCGACACGACGGTGCGCGGTGCGCCTGTAAAATTGATATCCACGCGCGTTCCCGAGGCGCAAGACGGAATCTCGATGTAAGACGCGTACGCGTCGGCGGATTAATATTTCAGCGGCATCATCGACGTCGTCTTTCATGTTGCATGAACCAAGATGATACGAGACATCTGTATTCCGTGGCCCCGGTCGTCGCGATGCTGTCTAATGCATTTACTCTTACCGAGGCCGATAAGCCATCCGGGGTGGCTAATAAGTACCGTTGAAATGCTGCTCGATCCATTACCGTTCGCGTCGGATCGCGGCGTCTAAACTTGCCAGACACGAAATCCACCGGCGATGCATAATTCCTGAAGTCGCTTGCGACAGAGGAACCGTTTCCCGTCAGCCACGGAACGCAAAGACAGCCGTGGCCGACCACTGGTAAATTAGAAAATCAATTTCCCCCCTGTTTTCACGGACGGAACTGAATTACGGTTTCCTTAACAGAATTAAATTTTGTTCGCTCGCCATGGAATTTCCCTGAAACGAAATTAAAGCTACCCATTCGCGGCAAAGCCTTTCTCAATCCCGTCTGCTGGGAAATAATAAAATCAGCTGCTCGTTTTTTTCTTGTTCTCTTTTTTTTTTATTAATGAAGTGCTCGCCCGGATCGTCTGATCGGGATATTCAGGCTTCTCTCGCATTGCCATCGACAAATGAATCCCACGAATACTTCGTTGATACGGGAGAACGGGGAAACCGAGGTTCCTTATTCATTTCCCTCGAGAACTGTTTGACGACTTTTATATCGGCACTTTATGTCGGGCAACGTACGGGCGAAGAGTGGATGAACTTCGCCGACCCCTGGATACTATCTGCAATCCAGGGGATAAGCATTGCATTTGTAATTACTAATTAATTAATCATTAATAATCCATTGCACTGTAATATCTGGAAGGCGTGTTCCTAGCTCTGGCATACGAATAAACTTCGAGCATTGCACAAGTAAGTACCACGACTAATTTGAAGTTTGACAGTCGACGCATGGAAAGTCCGAGTTCTCACTGTAAACAAAGCGGAAGATCCGTGAAACGACTCCATTGACTAAACATTCCCCCCGCCAGGCGATCTAAACGTTCACCAGGGGAATCGTGAACAATTAGCGTAACGCTAGTAATTAACGGGATAGCAGAAATACCACTCGAGATTCAACGGTCGTGTCTGACAACACTGACAGATCAACCTGTCGGACGTACTGGTTGCTGTCCCGCGAAGTTAAATTACAGACATTCAGAATCTCAACGAAACTGGAAATTCGACCATCGCCCATGTAGATTCAGAGCACGTTCTCGGTAACGATTCAACATTCTCGTAACTTAGAAAATTAAATCGACCCAAGCGACGTTCCCGTGAAACTTCGAAACGTCGAACAGTAAAAACGTCTTAAAGTTGAAAACTTTCACGCGCGCTTTCGGGAAGGAATTTTAACGATTTTATGGAGAGTTTCCAGGATGCATGGAAAGTATAAATAAATAAACTACTCGTAAAAGTGACTTCCGAGTCGGTGATTATAAGACCTCATTTGCAAGTTTCTCGCAGCCGCGACACTTTTTCCCCCGTGAATTTGAAATTCATACACGGACGAGCTTGGTTAACTAAAAATAGTTCGGCCAGAGGCCCCGAAACGAGCACGGGAAACGTTTTAGATGGCAATTTCTCGCCTGGTACCCGACGCCACGAAATCATATGCCCCACGAGCATGCTTGACAGCAACCACCGAATCCCATACGATACGAGCAAATTGCGTTCCGTGTTCCCTTTAGCGTGTAACGGCGGACTTTCGTTGATTTTTTTCAGGAACGACTTCTACTGAGCGTGTTGCCCAGACACGTAGCCATGGAGATAAAAGCCGACATCGCTGGCAAACCGAAGGACAAGATGTTTCACAACATTTACATTCAGAGGCACGAGAACGTCAGGTGAGGATTGAGGAAATACAAGCCAATTAAAAAAGTACCCAAAATAGTACCCCTTTGGCCGGAAGTTCCGAGACACTTTACGCGTTCAGAGTTTGCGCGGGAAACTCTTGCATCTGAGAGCAACGAAACCAATGAATAATTAGAAACGATACTGTGTGTATTCTGTCCAGTGGGCTATGATATATTCGTCCCCATTATGCATCAGGGTCATACACGCGTCTATCACGCGTTACAGTGGCGCGTCTGCCACTCGTGGATCGTTAAGTCACACGACGCGCGCCAACGAATTCCAATTAACAGCGTGACTTAATTACAGGACCGACACGGTCTCGAAGAATCTAACGCGAGAATATTTTACAGCATCCTGTTCGCGGACATTTGCGGATTCACGTCGCTATCGGACCAATGCACGGCGGAGGAGGTGGTCAGATTGCTGAACAAACTGTTTGCTTGGTAAGAGAGTCTATCGACAAGAAGATATTTAGAATCGTTTAATAAAATATCGCTATCGTCTGGGTATCGATTACGTCCTGGTTTTAAACTAGATGATCCAGGGGACTAATCTTTTCATGACGCAACAAATTCTTTCAGAACTCTATAAAACTGTGGAAATTCGTTTGAAAGCCATGTTTCTGCAAACTTCTTTAGAAGGACTCTCTGCTTTTTCACAGGTTCGATACGCTGGCGGCTGAACATCATTGCCTCAGGATTAAATTGCTAGGGGACTGTTATTATTGCGTTTCTGGGCTGCCGGAGCCCAGGCCAGATCACGCGCGATGCTGCGTCGAAATGGGCTTGGACATGATCAGCGCGATCACGTGAGTTCCGTTAAACTAATTTCCCGTCGAAACCGACCTTTCAAATCGTTCTGCTTCGGCCACTCTATCAATATTTTTATCGTTTCTACGTTTATTAGGTATTCGATCTTTGGGGTACACACAGAATATTTTAAGAAGTTGATAAAAAATTTAAGTTTATTATTTCTTGTAGGTATTTCAACCCTAAACCTACCACGATCGATCAAACGACCGTTTTTAAAATTTCGTTTAGAATCTCTAACATACGACTTTTCTTATAATATACGTACAATGAATTTTCTCAACATTCACTTTTATTCTTATTCTTTGTTTTCTGTAAAAAATATGTAGTCTGTCTTGCCTACCACAACCGGTCGAACGATTTTTTGTAAAAAACCGGACGAAATTTAATATCAAATTCTGGTTAACTTCTAATGCAAATAAGAAATATATAGCAAAAATTAAAGGAGAGAATGTTCAGTTTCGATTGGCTTAACAATGCGTATTAAAAATAGTTAAACTTTAGATGCGTGCAGTTCCGAAGCTACTAGAGTTTTATTCATAATTGAGCCATTGTTAGAAGTGGCAAGGCTTCTCCTTTAAAATGATTTTTGTTTTATGTCGATCCGACTTTCCATTTTGGAGATATCGTAATTTATATGAAAGTGTAATTTTTAAAACTCCACTATCTCTGTCTCTCTGTCTTACGCGTCGGTCCTTTTTCTTTCGCACGTGAGTTGTGACCGAGTGATATATTTACTATTTACTACGAGCACGTGCGGTCAACGACCTTGCCAAGGCCTTAGTGAAAGTCCATTGATGTGGCGAGGTAAACAAACGCTTCGTACCCTTATATCACCGGAACTAGCCACGTTATCGACTTGAAACAAAAATCGTTATATCTCCGGAACTAATTACGCTATCGACTTGAAATTACCACTCATTTTAAAGGGCATTTCATCCTCTATCTGATGTGCATAACAACTATTATCATTTATACTGTCTTGTATGTTTCTTTTGAAATTTACTTTGACTCTATTCACCCAAGGAAGTTTCAGCAATTCCTACCGATTATAGGATCGATATAGGATAAAACTCTATTATAAAATATTTAATTGAAAAAGAATTTAAATTTGTATACAGGACTTTTGCATAATTAATAGTCAGCATTTTGTCATAAATAATTGATTTCTCCGGAATTAACTACGGTATCGATTTAAAACAAAATTCGTTTCCAATTGCATTTTCTCTTCTATCCGATGAAAATTAAAAAATTTCGGCGTAGGTTGTTCATTTTCTGTATGATGTTAGAGTACTAAGTATGCACATTTAGAGTGAAATTATTGAATATAGAGAGAGGTATCTGACGAACAAAATTCAAAGCACAATTTTTTCTAGATACAATGCAAAAATTAGGAGTACGTTGCCTCGTGAAAGAGAAAAAGAAAGATTGGTCATTAGACCGGTTATGGTAGAAATGGGTATACACGAAGCGTCGGTAGGTTTACTGTTAACTGTAAGAAAATGTCTGTAACGCGATTGCTTCCCAAACTTTTGAATGGTAGCATCTCGAAAAGGCCCGTGACTCGTTGAGAAGTTTTTACGATCGCGACCTCCGCAGGGTTAAAATATAATCGCAACAGTTATTCCCGCGATAGTCGATGGTTTTTTCAGATTGTATCGAGAAGTGGGGGCGGTGAACGTGAACATGAGAGTGGGCATACACACCGGAAGAGTCCACTGCGGGGTGCTGGGACTACGAAAATGGCAATTCGACGTTTGGAGCAACGACGTTACCCTGGCGAACTACATGGAAAGCGGCGGAATACCAGGGTGAGTTTCGGAGGAACATTTTCAGCGAAGGCTCGCGCAAACAGAGAGAAGAAAAACGAAGGAAAGCTATAATACGAAACGACGAGTCACACGAGACCGCACGAGCTTTCTTATTTTGTTTTCCTAGCTCCTTCTCGAGCGTACAAGAGAAACGTCCCTTCGCTTTGTAATAGCGGCCAAAGTACAGGATTTACAAGCAATATCATCCCCCGATTTAAATTTGAAACTTACGTCGGGAAAATAGAGATCCTCTCTGGAAACTCTCCTCGGACGTTGAATCGCATTCGTAAATATTCATCGTCCGTTCCATTTCGTCGTAGAAAACTTCAGATACTCGGAGGAACTTACCGCGAGATACTTACGTCGAGTTATTCGGCTTTAAAAGAGATAACAAACGAATCGCAAACATTCAGATTCTACTAGCAGCGTTGCATCCTAAACCCGTCCAACAAGAACGACAGAATTTTCAATCGTCGTAGTCGCCATGTTTGTTAGGCGCCAACTAGCTACGAAGATCTTGCGTCTCGACGCCATTAGAGTTTTTCTTGCGGCGCCATGTTTATTCCGAAGCAAACATAATTCCTGATATTGGTGAGATACAAGTTTGTGTGACAGAGTCGTCGAAAATTTATCGTATTTGCTCCACCAAACGCAATCGTGATGGTTTGTTATTTTCATTCATCTTTAATTAAAAGTTCTATCGCTCTTGTTGCCTCGAATATTTTGGAAAATGAATGCAACGACCGGAATATTCGAGCAAATATTCCTATCGAGAGCGATTCGCCGCGAACTCACCGGACTGGGAATCGTCTCGACGGTCGATAATTAAACGTCCAATTACTTTCGACGTGGCGTCCGACGTTTACCGTGCGATTATTCCCCTAACGCAGACGAGTCCACATCACGAAAGAGACGCTGGATTGCCTGGGCGGTTACTACGAGGTGGAGGAGGGCAACGGGGGCGAAAGGAACGCGTACCTCAAGGAGAACAATATCAAAACGTACCTGATCGTCCCCGGGGACGCGTTCAAGGGAAGTATACCGTCGTCCGGGTTGAGAAAAGGTCTGCCAGCGAACGGGAACGTGTCCAAGGAGATGAGGGTGATGGGACACGGATCGCAACACGGTAAACAGACCAAGTAAGCGATCGCTTTGTCGTCCTTTTGGTAGTTATGGGAGATCCAGCTAGCGATAGGAGCAATGCTTCACAATTAAGGTCGATTTGCCGAGGGAACGGTACTTCTCGATGAGTATTGATTCTCGAAGCAGCGGCGTCGGAACTGAGACGTGTTTTAGTACCTTCGATATGTTTACGTTTGATATTGTACCCTTCTGTTGGACCACGTTCCCCGCTCCAGCGATGGCTCTCTGTTTTATCCTTGCAATTACCGTTTCTTTAGAAACAGGAGCGCCGACGGGAAACGTAAAACAGTAACACAAGCATGTCAAACACGAGAGCCGATCCCTATTTCGCTACTATTTTCTGATAAAATTTCTTTTTACGATCGAGAAAGTAGGACAAGAAATTATTTGTCTAAAATTTAGTTTAATATGAATAAACTCTACGTGGTTTCCCTGACAATTAGATAGGAACTTAATGGACTCGTATGCGTATAGCGACCACCAGGAATTTCTATTATAAGTATGGTGAAAAATATTGGACCTTCCATAATTCTATTTGGGCTGTTTTACCTATTTGACGATAGGTTGGGCTTTGGAGAAACCACTGAGAGCAAAAAGGATCCTGACGACGAGGTGAACGAGTACCTGATGCGAGCGATCGATGCCAGAAGCATAGATCGGCTGAGAGCGGAATATTGTACGCCTTTTATCCTAACATTTCGCAGACCCGACGTTGAAGAGAAGGTACACTGATCATTGTATAGAACTAACCGCAAAGCTGGCAAATTGGTTTTAAAAGTGCTCGCATATTTACAATGTGTATTGGCACTGCTTATAACGCAGTGTATTATTTATATCTTATGCTCGTGGTGCCCCTATAACTATTAATAAAAGCCCTTCGGGTGGCAACTGCCATAAGCTTAAAATGATATATCGAAACGAAAGCTATGTAATATTAAGGCTCTTTAATTCTATTTACGATACTAGTTCTAAAGCGTGATAGTTTAGAAAATTGTTCGAATTATTTACAAAAAATTTATTCTTTCATACATCTCATTCATTCATCTCTATTGATTCTACTAATAAATTTGGTGATCGAAGTTTGCAAGTAAAATTTAGGTCACCATTTTATTTGTCAAATTGGAATTTTCCGCCACAATAAGATTAATATTCAGCTCTCCTGGTAACAAAATCGAATTTAAAAATATAATAAACAAGAGTTTGTGGCCGTACTGACAAATGTAAATTTCTTTTATCCGTAGCAAATATTTTCGAGCTAAAATCGACAACAAATAATTTCCCTCCGAGCTTTCAATTTTCCATGTAATACAAGTGCGTTAAAGAAGAAAACGCTTTAACGATTTTGTTGCAGTATTCTCGCGAAAGGGACAGAATGCTATCAGCATACTTCGTGTGTTCCGGTTTCGTCTACATGGTGGTCGTGATTGCCATAGCAATCACTCTGTACGGGTAAACGAGCCAGTCCAAATAAACTCTATTCTCTAAATCAACTAGTCTTCTTTTCTCTTTCAAAACTGCGATTCACTTCAAACTATGTGTATGTCAATTAGCTTGGATCCTGGAAACTCGATTAACCTCCGAATACGTTAAAATTAAGCTTCTGCCTCTATAACATAACTTTAACAAAATGATCTTTCAAATCAAATACAAATCAACTATACTAGTATTATCAATTCAGTTCTACAAGCTAAAGTAGATATTTTCTATCGTACTTAAGACCAGAGTGGAGCAAATTTGATTCATGAATAACGAATAAACGAATAAGAAGTTTAGATTTATTCAGTTTCTAATGTAAATCAAAATCCATTAACGATCTTCCTAAACTGACATCTAGTCGAACAAAGTCTAATTTACGAATAAATTTGAAATCGTTATTCGTTATGCGTTATTCGTGAATAAAATTTTCTCGACTTCGGTTTGAACCATAGAATGCGTGAAATCACTTTTACAGGAGCATATACTTCTACACGTGCATAGCAGTGAGTACGCTGCTGATCGCTTCGATCAATGGAATCCTATTGGCGGAAAAAAACGCGGTGAGTATGTTAGTTACTTCGTTTCTTATCTGGAAAACGTGGCGCTGATTCGGGCCAACTTGTACACGAAATCTACGTATTTTGAGCAATTTCCAGCGCGACTGGATCGATTGCAAGGCTCTTTGGAATCTTGCCACTTCCTCTTAACCTTGAATTCGTGGCTGGATTCCAGGTCACTGGTGAAATCATCGATTCACTCATCGTGCACTAGACAGTGCTGTGTGCCTTTGTCCGAAGATCGCTTAACAGCAAAGCAACGCTTACGGCCGATTGATAATAGAATTTTCGGCAAACTAATTAGTTCGTTGCGTAACGAAGACAACCGACCCGTCTCCATGAATTGCAACCATGGATAATAACGAAGAACGATATTTTATTTTTCAGAAGGTACCTAAATCCCTTCGAGATTTCGCGGTGCACGTTTTTGAAAACCGCGGCGTGGCGCAAATACTGGCCACGTGCGTCGTGTTCCTGACTTTCATCACGGCTCTAAGTCCTCTGGTAAGTCATAATTGGAGCTTGTTATGCAATTTTCAAATACGGTAACTCACGGTTCGAACGAAATTAAAAATGTATTTCTCATTGGGGCCCAAACTGAATAAACGCTATCTCCACCAAGTGAAATTTAAAATTCTAACTCGAACGTTCGATAAATACACGTTGTACGCGCACAAAATTTCACGAAGATTGATTCGTCATTGTCGGAGTTTTTAACTGCCGTCAGTTCGGAAAAAGAAGCTTGGTGAAAAAACGGCGTTAAAGTCATACCGACACGACATGCGACGATTCTATCCGCGCAGGCGGCTGCATATACAGTAATAAAGTTCGCCGATGAAATTCAGTGATTAATCACGTCGCGCCATTCCGTAAAATAGAATAAAAATGACGTCCATTAATCACGTCGGGTCGTTCGCTGAAAAGGAATAAGAATGCCAAAGAATGAATCGAGTCGGTCTTTAAAACACGTGGGTCGCCATTAAATTATCTTGGATCAGTCACGATCGATCGTGGGTCATCGTGGTAGATTCAGTGGACTTCGAACTTGAATAACTGCGTGAATAACGCTACCACGATGCGAATAGATCAAGACTCGACTCTGTCTTCGTATGACGTATTACTACCTCAATTTTCGACAAGAGATCTCACTAATCACCGCAGTGGAGCAGAGAATTAATGGATGATAACCATGGCCGCTATCTATCACCGCTATGTCGGTGCTCCGATCGATAAAGTTCGTGCACTCTGACGGCGCCACGCGATTAATTAAGTCCCCGATGATCAGGATCCATCGATCGACTCTAGCAAGAAACAAAGCGATTCGTCTTCGTCTGTCTTTTTCCTCTAATTATAGATCACGTTGGAGAGCGTGCGTGTCTGCAGCAACGGCACGTCCATCTCGGAATGGCTGGATAATTCGAGCGTGACGTTCCAGAGCATCGACACGCCTGACGACGTTTGCTACTACACTGTCTTCGCTGACGTAAGTTCCTAGACATGATCGATTCCCATTCTGAACTCCGATGGTCGCTGGCGTTAAATCAAATTTGCCAGACTTGCGTCGAATCAGCTTATAAGTCTTGGTTAATTGTCTACGTCGGACAGAGATCGTGCAATTTCTACGTCGCTGTTATCCAAACTTCGTATTACACGGTATCCAGGTGAAATCGTAGAGCCATAACGGACTAGATTCCTTGTTTGACGATAAGTCGTTATTGACGCAAAGGTGAAGAGGGATCTTCCACCTTCGGCGACGTTTGATCAAAGATTGGAACCGAAGTGTCGTTGTCAACGAAGATTCTGATCTCAGCGAGGAGCAGTTAATTACTTTGGACGATGGTGCTTGCAGCTTTTCCCGGTGCTTGTGATGCTGGTGATGATAACCTGTGCGGTCTACCAGATTCTGACGTCGGTGTTCAAAGTGGCTATACTCAGTCTGGTGGTGGCTTCCTACCTAGGCATCAGTATTTACGAGGCGTTGCACGAGAGGGACGTCGAACTGACTGGAAGATGGCTGGCGGGCGTTTTGGTGGTTTTCTTTATGGCCTGCCTGGTCGCCCATTCGCAACACACTGAGGCGACCTACAGGTGAATTATCCTCGACCAATACGATCCAAGATTCTTGCACTATTCTATTACTTGTACCCGAAGAAAATTTCGACATTTTATCGATTCGAATTTTAATTAACAATCTTCCTTTCGTTTTTAAAATAACTACGAACGAGTCGAATTTCGTCGAACAATGGAAGCCCCGAAACAGATTTAAATATATTTTTCTGAATGAACGCAGATTGGATTTTTTGTGGAAGCTCCAAGCCACGGAAGAGAAGGAGGAAATGGAGCACCTGAAGGCCTATAACCAGAAACTATTGGCGAACATACTTCCGGAACACGTGGCGGCTCACTTCCTGTCTACTGTCAATTCGGACGTAAGGAAAATAAATAAGTTGAAATTATACCGTTCGAATATTAAAACGACCAACTATAACGGTTAGAAACTACCGTTGATAAAACTGTAATTAGTATGTAATGAAGAATATAAAAATTTATATTGTCATTTACCGACGAAACGCGATCCTGTTACCGCGCTCGGACGGAACATAAATAATGGTAGGGATGATTTCGTTACTTGAATGCACCGCGATAATTGTCATTTGAAAGAGGGAATTACTATAATTCGCTTCTCATGAATTAACCGTTTGTAGTTCTAGTTATTGTCAGCATTTCGTCCCAACTAGTTCACGCGCATTTAGCTATCCTCGCCGTTGCCATACGGCCACTCCATATTTGAATATTTAACTACACATTAATACAGACGTGTGCAAATTATTAATTTCGACGCCGCGTCTCTGCAGTTTTGCTGATTTTCTGTAAATACTCGAGAATATTGTTTATCGACCGGGGACTCGTTTCGAAGCGTATTTTTATTCCGTCCAACGACGTTTCGTATAAAATGGCCGCTTGCAGGAGCTGTATCACGAGCAATGCGACTTCGTTTGCATAATGTTTGCCTCGATACCGAACTTCTCGGAGTTTTACGTGGAACTCGAGGCGAACAACGAGGGCGCCGAGTGTCTCAGACTTCTCAACGAGATCATCGCCGATTTCGATCAGCTGCTCGCCGAGGAACAGTACAACTACATCGAGAAAATTAAGAGCACCGGTGCCACGTACATGGCTGCATCCGGTGAGCAACGCTTTTCTCCTAATTTTTCCCCCAGCGATGCTTTGCAATTACACGCGGCCGAATCGCGACGTTGATTAAAATTCGCTTCGTCGTTTTTTCCTACCGTTTAACATTTTTCCACAAACTGCCGCGCACGCGTTCGCCGGCAAACACCGCAGTTCCACCGTTTATTCGCGTAACTTTGCGAAAAGTTATACATTGTCCATCCCCCGACGCTTTAAACCACTGAAATAGAGACGACGTAGAATTTTTTCCGCGCAAAAAATTCCCTAGAGAAAACAGACCATTGTATCTGGGCAATTTGAAATCTAATAAAACGAGTCTCTACTCTTCCGTTATTAAAATAACGTAGAATTAATGAAAATGTCCCTGCTTTTTAACAACTTTCACGTGAACGACGATCGTATAAAAGTTTCGTCTTTAAAAATATTTATCAGCAAGATTTCATTCGTTTCGAAGACAAATTAGAGCGTGTACTGCTAGAGTTCTGAAACGTTGGGGTAAAAAACGCGAACGTCGACGTGCAAACGGTATTTATGGCTAGCAGGTATTTTCACGAGGGTATTCCTCTTTTCCTCAGGTCTGATGAAGAGCACCTGCGACATGAAAGATTACAAGCACGTGACTGCTATGGCCGACTATGCGCTCAGGATACGTGAACAGCTGGCCTCCGTTAATGAACACAGCTTTAACAACTTCCGGTTGCGTGTGGGCATCAATATTGGACCGGTAACGTCAATCAATTTTGAACTAACTTACAATGTTCGTGAAACGTTCTTTCGTGTCTGAATGAAGACTGAATAAACCACGAATTCGTTACGATGAAATGATTAACAGGGACGAGTATGTCACGGTAATATCACACATTATTTCAGTGCTAATCAATTGGAAGAAAATAATGAAACGTTTTTATTAATCTATTGATTAAAACGTATATAGTCCACAAGCGTCCACTAATTTGTTTCCAATATGCAATGAATAAATATTTATTTATTCTTATTAGGCAAAATAGAAGAAATGTTTAACTATTTTAAGTAAAATTGGTAATTATACAAGAAGGATTTTTATTTTGAGAAATTTTTCTTATTCGTACGAAAGTCGTTTACTCTCGGAGATATTTGCAAAAGTTTCGGTTAAATGTAGGTTAAAATTATGCCACATTCCGGCGTATGGCGCCACCTTACACTACATTGCACACATGCAGCCATCTAACGACGATAGAAGAAAGCCTACACGCGAAATCATTAGTAAATACACACGCGTAAGATCGTATAATCTTTTAGACCTCCATAAACTTATCTACAAAGCTCTTCGCGTTCAATCAAGCTTCAAATCCTACTTAAACCCCTTCAAACATTTGTACTTCACACGAAGGAGACTCCAGGAAATGATTTGCAAGTTTCAAAGAGGGTAATTTCAAGACGAATGATACTTTGGGCGAACTTTCGAGCTCGACGAGGACCTCAAAGTAGGGTACTCGCATGGAAATCAACTACCAGTCGCTTTCAAGATAAAATTGTTGAATAATAGTTTTACAAAAAAATTCATAAAAACGAAATATTTCCAGAGCCGTCACACGGGAATCCCCCTTAAAGAATTTATCTTACGTAGGCGCTTGCGTTCGTACTACGGGGACCAGTTTTTCTTTCTCTTGAAATAGCATACTTGTACACCCGACGTTGGAAATATCGTTCCATGACTACAAATGCACGAAACGCGTGATGCATAAAAGGTGCGATTTCTTAGCCGCACGATACGTATTATAAATGCATACCCATACGTCTCGTGTATTCGTAGTGGATGAACGATTTTTCTGCACCGGGTAAAACCATGCTGTTGCAGACAGGACAAAACTGGTATTCGCCTACCAAAGCAGAATTTCTTGATAACTAATAATATATTAACCGCCAAAAATTCGATGTAGACTAATCTGAAGAGTCGGGTACGTTGTTCGATTGGTCTCGTCACTGTGCATCGATAGGAGAAACTTCAGAATTTTGGTTGAATCTGTTTTGATGCAGGTCGTGGCAGGGGTAATAGGCGCCAGAAAGCCGCAGTACGACATTTGGGGTAACGCGGTAAACGTGGCCTCGAGAATGGAGTCGACGGGTGTCTTGGACGGGATTCAGGTCACCCAGGAGGTTCGCGATATTCTGATCGCGAAAGGATATCCGGTTACCTGTCGTGGTAGCATTCAGGTCAAAGGCAAGGGCAGCATGGTGACGTACTTCCTGGACGGTCCCAGAGATCCGTCGAAAGCTCTGGGCAACGTAGACGCTAAAACGAACTCTAATAACTACACCAACAACACGGACAAGCCTGTGTCGTCGAGCAACGTTGTCGTGTGAGGGACGTTTTCGAGGAAATCGAGGACTCGATTCGCGAAAGAAATGGCCGAGTAGTCAGCGGAAGTGCTGTCCGACGAACGATTAGTGAAATTTTACAGAGTACGGGTCGAGAGTTTTGTTACAAAATGAGGGAGAAAGTGTTATAAGATTTCGAAAGTCGAGGAAGCGAATGTCAATTGTAATTTGAGGAAAGAATGTAGGAGTTTACGAAAACGATGAGCGTTAGAGGATATTTTAAAAGTAATACCACTGGGAAAGCTAAGATCTATATATCCAGACGTTTACGACTTTCCTTTAGGGGCGTAATAGTCATTATCAAACGAATGTCACAGATATTTTGTCATTGATATGTTCTCTGTCAGGGAGGATCGCGTTCGATCGAACGATAGAAGCCTAAAAGAATTATATTTATAAGAGAAGCAAAGAAATAATGTCCTATTTTTGAAGGCAGTTTCGAGTTTAACGAAACTAATCTGCGTAGTATCAGGATCCGATAGTAATTTTAAAGTATTTTCTGACACTTCGAGTAACTTAAATTCTACCATTTCCCATACTTGGACATCTTTCTGAATGGTCCATACATCGAAGAGATATTTTGATCGACGAGTCTGTCGCTTAACTGACTCCGATCCCCTGTTCTTTAAGATCAGTGGAACAAGAATCAACGATTCTTCTAATTAATGTACGAGTCAATAGGTCGATTTAATTCCGAACCAAAAGAAGATCCATAAAATATCCGACATTTGGAAAAAGGAAAACGACCCTAGAACGAAGGAAAAATATTGCGAATTCGAGTAGTATTTTTCTTTCTCGATTGAATCCTCGGAACTCAATTATCGTCTCTGTGAAACGGCTCAATCGATCTCCGGCACATAAACGGACAAATTACGTAGTGGTAAGTTTAACCGAACGGTAAATAACGTGAACGGAGTGTCTTGCGAAACGGAGCTCAAATTTTCTTCCATATCTTGAGAAAGTTATCTTGTACTTAAGCCATATCTCGGTACACGTACGTACAATGAGTGTGATTAGATGTTTGCTTATTATTCTCGACTCTGTACGATCGCGAACCATCGACACGCCGCTAAAAAAATCTCTTCAAACGAACAACAAGACGATTTCATTCGTCGTATATTTATATTTGACAAACGATTCTAATCTATTTCCTCAAAATTATTTTTTAAGAAATTATAATCGTCTCCTCGGAAATAGTCCTTTGTTTCCAGATAAAGAAAGATAGATGGTGGAAGTTTAAATTTTTTCCAACAGAAATATAATTTTACACCAAAGATCATTGAATGATTCGTATCGCTGTTCGTTTTACGATTCCAGCGTGTCTGCGTCGTTTCTAGTCAATAAATGGAGTTCTCTGAGAGAGTAATCGTAACGAGAGAAGCTCGATACAACGAAACCGTGGCCGAGTCTTAGACTTATTTTTCTCTTTGCGTACTGTGCTATTTAATTTAAAGGGAACGGGACCACGTCAAGTTTCTACCGATACCGTGACGGACGACGTGTAATTGAAGAATCGAACGAAGCAAGAGTTCGACTTCGGTCTATGGAACGCCAAAGAGGACTCACTATTTTTACAATTTCCGTTTTTGTAACTTACTGATCGAAAATGTCAATAAACGAATGTTTCTGTTATCGCGCGTAAAAAGATTCATCTATAATCTTTCAATATTTAAGTGGAAAAATGGTTTTGCAACACTCTGTAATATAATCTGTTACCGGTAAACGAAGAATCTATCGACAGAATCAAATTGCGTAGATCGTGCGACAGCGAGCACGGTGCCCTTCGAGCGCCAAGAGTTTAGTTTGCAATGTCTCTTGATTTTTAAAAGATCAACCTAATTTGCCCAATAAAAAATTATTGGACGCATCGATTCCAGTATATATTCGTTGATAGCAGAATTATTTCTCATTTACGAATGAGTCTTTCGATTTTATCGATTGTTGTTTCGTATATTTCGTTCTTTCTCTGAACGTAGTTCTTGTCGCTCGGAGGGCCTCGATCTCTGAACTGATACAAGTGTGTTTGTGCGAGCGTGTGCGTGTGTGTTGCATATATACGGCGTGTACGCAATTATGCTGTTGTTATACGCTGCCTGCAGAGCTTCATGGCGGTCGTATACGAACGAATCAAGTTCGAGTAGAAATTTCACGAAGAGGCACCCTTCGATATCGTGTAAATATTTACGCACGCGGTGTCTCGAGAAACAAGCAGCCAAAATGTACACAGCCACGCGATTTATACGCCGGATAATGCGAATTTTCCCGATAGTCAATGACGAACGAACGATTTCCCCGTGAGATCGTCGCTGTTTTACCGCGAATCGTATCGAAGCTCAGCGAAATAACATTTTTTAGCACTCGAGTATAATTCTTCGACCGATAACTGGACTACCCTAAATTTTGGCAGTTCACTTGATGATTGCACGAATTATTATTTTTGTCATTGTTGTTATACTTTTTACTATTAATAATTCTCACTAGATTTGAAAGAAGAACAGTGGAATAACGTGGACTAGGTTTTAAAAATGAATGTCCATCAACGTCAGGCAAATTATATTTGTTGCTCGACGAGGGGCTCTGGAATATTATTTCGCCTGGTTTCGAACGTTCGAAACAGTTAACAACGTTACGACAACTTTAACGAATTAATATCCTGTATACTATTGTGATGAATGTAATTTTCCGAAGAGTTCAATTAGTCATCAGTCAATTGAAACTCAATCTTGGCTAATAGAGCAAATTAATTAAATGTTCTCGTGACGAAAAAGTATTTTGATGTTGCTGGCAGGCCCAGCTATAGATGTTTAATCGACGTGAATCAAGAGATAACGAGCCACTGCTTGGGAAATTGGGGATTCTTCGAATGAAAATATTGCCGGTGCTTCGATCGAACAGTTATGTAATAATCAGTTAAATATAAAAAGTTAAGTATTCACGATAAATTATAAAATCGACAATTACCATTTGTAGCGAACTACAACTCTCTCAAGAAAATATAAGCAACGCACAATACTTGTCCATTTCAATGCAATAATTTTTTAAAACGCAAACGTTCGTTCCTGCAAGCGACGTCGAAGCATCCGCAATATTTCGAAGGAAAAATTTCGATCGCCCCGAGATACAAAAACATAAAAAATGTGTCATATCAAACTTATTGTGAAAACTGTACAGTCCGTGTTGAAGCATAAAGACGTGTTAGCTTTCTAGCGATAATCGTTTAAACATATTCCAGCCATTATAGTCTGTATCGTGGAAATTCGTCGACGAAGCGCAAACGATCGTTTAACAATTTACCAACGGCAGAGAGTATGCTTTTTCGAACGTTTCTACGATACTCGACTGTAATGGTGAACAAATGTTATATTAATTCTACAGTCAATTCGTGGAGACGAGGGTTTTGCCAACGATCTGGGAATAATTTTTCCATTCTGTTCCGAGTAACTTCAATGGCCTAAAGAAACCTTGGAATCTGTACTAATCACAGGCATGTGTATTATAGATATATTCGCGCGATGTGTGATTTGTCAGGAATAAAACATGAAATAAATTTTTATTGAAAGAACGCGCCGAGAGTGACTTTCCCTCGATTCCATTCTGTTTTCCTTACACTTCGAATCAAGAGCTCGAGTCTTGAGAAACTGATGCTCCCGGAAAAAGTTTCGTAAACATTCGATCTGATTTCTTCCAGACCATTAGGTAAGAAAAATTTAGGAACATTGTCAGTATCCTAACATGCTTTACTATAACTATAAAATTCTACAGCTACATCATAATGACTAGAATCGTTAGAATCAATGTTATCCAACTGATAAAATCTTGATGGTTTTCTTCTCAAACAGACACCACGATCACTATCACTATCTTCAATTTCTAAGTCAGTAATATATTCACTAGTACACTTACACATTTTATAAAACAGCACACTGCAATAAAACTTATAACACGTACACTTCGAATAAAAAACGCGAAGATATCTTCCAAAAGAATTTCGGTTGATTTGGTTTCTCCCGAACCATTAAATAGGAAAGGTTTTAGGTTCAATGATAAAATCTAGTAGATTAGGGAAACTGTCAGTGTCTGGCCATGCTTCGCTGTAACTATGAAATTCTGTGGGCATGTAATGGCTAAAATCATAAGAATTACCGGTATATTACAATCGATGAGGCGTCGATGATCTTCTTATCTGGCAGACATCGTCATCACTGTTGCTGTCTTCGCTTTGCGTGTCGGAATTGCTTCTACCACTCACTCTTTCGCACCCTGACCCGATCGAGTCGGTTCAGGGTCCCAGGGGCCCCACGTGGAGGTGAGGTGAGTGGATTTTACCAGAGTGGGCCCCATCAACTTCGCCGAAATTCTCTGCACTAGACTACCGCGGAAGCAGTAACCCAGATATAGGAGAACATCAGCTCCATCGAGGTTTTCATCCTAACTGATTGTCAGAAAGTCCCACTCCAGCCTCTTGCCCCCTCTTGCTAAAAGGAAAGATTTCAAAATTCGAAGCAGCTCGTTATTTATTCAATTTAATCAATCGTTGAGGATATCATTATTGTCAAGACTTTCTAATCTTCATTTAACACTTTGCAATGTAAATTTTCAAGACTTGCAGATACGCTTACGTTTCATGAAACAAAAATATCAGCTCTACTGATAGTCTAGAACGAACGATCATCAATTGAATGTTACACTTATAGCAGAGGGCACGATCGTGTTCAATTGCCCTAATAAATTTATATTAGATCATATACGACACGTATTTATTCGGTTGTGATGCGACACAAAAATAGATTAGACACGTTAACAAGATTAATAGTATATTCTTCTTCTTCTTCTTCTTCTTCTTCTTTGTGTTTTTAACGCCGCGTCGACTGCGAGGTCATTGGCGGCGGATGCGTGCTTGCGCGCTATATTTGATTATACATATTTGTTTCTTTGAGAAATTTTAAAGTGTCACTTATGTGGGCCTGAGCTGTAAGGGCTGTGTCCGGTTTTATCCCATATTTCTGTCTTTGGGGTTCGGTTCTTCTGCACTGGTATAGAATGTGGTCTACTGTGAGGGTTTCAGTGGGGCAGTGGCTGCAGTACGGTTGATCGGTTTTTCTTATTAGGTGTTCGTGTGTTATCTTTGTGTGACCTGATCTTAGTCGAGACAATATGGATTTTTCTTTCCTATTTAAATTGCAGGTAGGAATTGGTTGGTAGAAGTTTTGTATTATATCATGTATTTTTGTTCTTTTTGTTGTGGTCCACATTCTGTTCCATTCTTCTTTTGTAGTTTTTTTCATATGGTTTATGAGGTCTTGATACGGTATTGGAACGGTAGTTTCGGTTGGTGATAGGGTTGTTGCTTCTTTTGCTGCCGCGTCTGCTTCCTCGTTTCCCGGTATGCCTTGATGTGAGGGAATCCAAATAATATTTATATCGGTGTTGTAATTTTTGTCTAATTCTGTGTATGCTTCTTGTATTTTTGTTATGATCTCATGGCTATTGTTACTGTTTGAGGTTTCTAGGGCTTTCATCACGCTCATCGAGTCCGAAAAAATGGCAACGTTTTTAAGGTTGTTGATGCTGGCATGTTTCAGGGTTTCAAGTATTGCATATGCCTCAGCGGTAAAGATTGAAACCAATTTGGGAAGACTTTGTTTTATAGTCATATTTTCGGTGACGATGCTGAATCCTGCTCCTGAATCAGATTTGGAAGCGTCGGTGTAGATTTGGTTACAGTGGGAGAAGTTGTTTTTTAGATTTAGGAATTTGGCTTTATGTGTTGTTCGGTCTATTTGATTTTTTGGCAGGTCCGCTAGGCTCAAGTTAATGGGTGGTGTCTTAATAGTCCAAGGAGCTATTTTACTTTGTTTGCGTTCAATGGTAGGAGCCCATTCGATGGGAGGTTTCAAGATTTTGTTGAGTCTGATACGGAGCGGTAGTGGGAACTTTGGTTTTTTGGAGTATAATTCATTGAATCTTTCAGAGAAGGTACGGTTGAAGGTCGGGTTGTTCGGAGTGGCGGAAATTTTTGAGGCGTATTTCAGTGTTAAATATTTCCTTCTTTGTTCGAGGGCCATTTCATTAGCCTCGAGCTGAATGCTTGCTATTGGGCAGGTGTGGTATACGCCTGTAGAAATTCTCAGTGCCGTATGGTGAATTGGATCGATTATTTTTAAAGTGCGTTTCTTTGCTGAGTTGAAGACAGTTGAACCGTAGTCAATTTTTGCTCGTATCAACGCTCGGTATGTTTGCAACAATATTTCCTGGTCAGCCCCCCAGCTATTATTGGCAAGTACTTTAATTATATTTAGTCTTTTTGTGCAGGAGTCTCTTAAGTATCGCATGTGTGGGACCCACGTCAGTTTCTTGTCCAGGATGAGTCCTAGAAGTTTAATGTGATCCACAAATTTTAGTTCAGTTTCTCCCATAGTTAGTTTTAGTTCAGTCTGGTTTTTTGTTTTCCTGGTGAAGAGGATGCATTGTGTTTTTTGGGGAGAGAAATTGAGACCCGATTTGTTGGACCATTCCTGAAGATGGTTTAAGGATGTTTGCAGGAGATTATATATTGTATTTAGGTTTTTACCGTGGCAGATTATTGTGAGGTCATCGGCGTATAGGTAGGATTTTATTGGAGCTTTTAGGTTTTTTATAATGTCGTTGATCCCAATTAGAAAGAGGGTGACGCTTATGACCGATCCTTGGGGAACTCCGTTCTGTATTTTTATGGGATTTGATGTTGATCCATTTGTTCTGACTTGGATTGACCTGTCTATCAGAAAATTCGCTATGAAGGCTAGCATATGCCCGTTGACATTTATCTTGGAGAGGGTTTTAATTATTTTGGGCTTCCAGATCATGTCGTATGCTTTTTCAATGTCAAGACATATAGCAACGAGATTTGGTTAAGACGTCTATTGTGGAACGATACTGCCGAAAACCATACTGGGTTGGCGTTAGAATGCTGTTAGCTTCTAGATGCGACCGGAGTCTTTTATTAATAATTTTTTCTAATAGTTTGCACATAGTATTTGTGAGAGCAATTGGTCGGTAGCTTTCTGGTTTATGTTTATTTTTGTTTGGCTTGAGAATAGGTACCACTATGGCTTTTCTCCAGTTAGAAGGGAAGACTTTATAAGTCCAGATACAGTTATAGATCTTGAGTAGGTGGTCTATTCCGAGTTTCGGGAGGGACTTTAATAGTTTATTTTGGATATTGTCAGGTCCTGGTGCAGAGTTTTTTGTTGTTGAGAGGATACTGGTTATTTCGTTTCATGATATTGGAGCATTTAGTGTAGGGTTCATATTGTTATCGTCGGTGCGAAGTAAGGTTTCTTTTAGGAGCTCGTCGTGATCTGGGTTGTTGGCTATAAAAGACGGGTTGTAATTGTCGTTGCTCGAATTTTTTTCACGAAAGTACGTAGGATTTGGGGGGTATGTCTATTCACCAAAAATGGTTGTAATTGATCCCTTCAATCGAAAATAATTTTCCCAGAACGATTTGAAATTTTTAAATTTTGTCCACATTCCTGAATTTTTTTCTCGAAAACGCGAAGGATGTCGGAGGTATGTGTATTCACCAAGAATGATTGTAATTGACCCCTGCAAACAAAAATAATTTTTCCAGAACGATTTGAAAAAATTTTTCTTCGCCGAAAAATTTAGGTAACTATCTGTTGATTTTTCCCAAAAATTCGTTTTTCATTTTTAATAAATTTGTTTGACGTCCTACGAAAATTTTGTCTAGTACTTTTTCGTAGGTACCCATGAGCTCTACTTCCATATTAAATTTCATTGAGAAACATTCACTATTGTAGAAATTATGGACGTTTGAAAATTAGGCCATTTTTATTTGGTTTTTCACACTTTACGGGGTTAAAGAACAACTTTTCGAATATTCTTAAAATTCCTGCATATTCTTCGCCTAAATACGCGTTGTTTGCCGTTTGAAACATTAAAATCCTCCAATCTGTTCAGGAGTTATGACATTTTAAAGATTCGCATGAAATTTTCGAGCAACATTTCTGGCCATAAATTACATTTTCGATTAGGAATTTTTTTCTCGAAAATGGTTAGGATTTTTGGGGTGTGTGTATTCACCAAGAATGATTGTAATTGAGCCCAGTAGCCAAAAATAATTTTTTTAGAACGATTTGAAATTTTTTTATTTCGCCGAAATATTTCACCACCCAATCAATTTTTTTCTCGAAAGTGCGTAGGATTTCGGGGGTATGTCTATTAACCAAAAATGATTGTAATTGACCCTCGCAAACGAAAATAATTTTTCCGTGAATGATATGAAATTTTTTACTTAAATTTTTTAATAACTTTTTAACGAAGCCTCAATCAAGAAATTGATGTTGTTGATTTTCGTCTTATTTTGGTCTCTATATAACGTAGACGCTGTCTTTAATAATAATATTGCATAAAAGCACAGGAAGCATAGAAACATAAGTTCGTTCGATATTTTGAAACGGACGAGGATAGAATTTGTAATTTAATAGGAAACAAACAAAATTTGCCAGTTCAGGGGATTTCCGAAATTTTAAATACATCAACATCAACATTTATAGAAATTTGAAAGAAATAGACATTTTTGTTACCATATAATAACACAGAACCTTATACGAAATAAAATACAACAATCTCCAGGCTTATCAGTGGACAAACAATTTGTAAACGTCAACGTTTTAATGAAAAACGTTGAACTACATTTTAATCAAAAAATCAGAGAAGTTTTGTAGCAACGATACAACTTTGCCAAAGGAAGGGGAGGGTCCAGCGAGAAGAAGCTTACTGTTTTTCCTCAAATTTCATTGTATGTTTAAAATATTGCCTTAAGTTGTAGTACAAAATTCCTAATAGAATTGAATTTCCCTCCATACACTTGCTCCTACGTTCAGCCTAATTTCGTTTCCAGGTCGGTCCGTCTACGGCGCTGCAAATGGCAGCGGTATCGTCGCTCACAGAACGTTCATGGGACAATGTGGGAACACGTGCTCGAAACTGCAGTATGTCTACAGATAATGTGGACTGGACAACATTGGTGTGCAGATTATTACGCGCCGATTTTTGATCCGTCTTAAAATCTACGCTTCGACAACAAGGTCAATGAACCGCTCGTCTTACGTCGATGACACTACTTTCGTGCATCCGGTCAATCTCATCTGACAATGGATAATAACACATGAAAGGTGGGACATCATAGACACTGTACAGCGGCATTAAACTGGCTGTTAGTAGCAGTGACCTGAGAAAAATCCGAGACTATTTTCTTTCGCTATCGGTGAAGTAAAAAAAAACATGTAACCTATTTCCATTAATCTTTCGCACAAACATTCTTGCAGTCTGTGAAACGAGGAAACGCGTCGATTATTTCTAAGTTAATCGTTCCATTTGCACTTGTGCTCGTCGGATAAAATAAATAATCGAGGGTGGAAGTGTTTTCGAAAATAGGTAACAGTAGTTGTGTGTTACCGCGATCGATCGTTTGTGAGATTGCATCAGAATGATTCGAAGTTCCTTAAAATTTTTAAAACTTACATAATTATTTTTAACATTCAAGCCTTTAAATATGTCGTTTTGTTTGGTGATAGTCTTTATCATTAGATAACGTTCGTTCACCGTTACATTTTATGATCCCAAGTATTTAAATAGAAAAACAAGTTCCGATAGGCTCTTAACGAGTAACGAGAATATTTATTTTGTTTTGTAAATATTTGTAATATGTTTTCTCGTAAAAGTGTGGGAATCGCGATTGACGAAATATGAATAACACTCGTTGTTGCAGGACGGGAAAGATCGTTTAGTATTCTTATTGCAATTTTTCCGCGGAACAAGCAACTATTGCACCGACGTAGTGAAAACCATCCGTCAGTAATGCAATAACGATGATCTCGTGAAATTTAAACAGAAAAATCGCATAAAATTCCCCCGCTTCATTTTTATCTGTGCAAAATAAATAGGGACCATGGAAAACGAGGTAAAATATTTTTCACCATTAAACACATCCGGTACACGCAATTTTTATCGACGTCAAGTAAAATATCGATCGCAATCGGGCGATAACTGTTCCAAAATTCACAGTAATCGAGTCGAAATTTAATCATTTTTACGTGACTAAAAATACCATTTTCTTAAAGCGAATTTTACAAGAATGTAGTAGACGATAATTACGTTTTCTATCATTTCCGCCAAGTGCTTTCATAATCACTAGATAAGAAAGGTGAACCGAGTGCAAGGTAGTTCCAAGTATTCAAGAGTTTCAACATACGTATATACCAGTAAATATTTACACGCGACTCTCGCCTCATCAAACGTTATAAATCGAACAACACGTTGAAAAAAAAACGAACTTGAAAGCATTTCGTGAAACTTGATATTTACGTTTAATAAAAAATTCACGTATCAAATTTACTTGACAATGTAATTTTTACCATTTTAGACAGCAAATTGAAACAGATCTTTCGAATAATTTATTAATATTAAAGACAAGAAGTTTAGATTTTTGTCTGGATTAAATAAATTTCTACAATTTTTATGTCGAAGCCGGAAAGCAGGGTTAAGCACAAAGTATGGAGGAAATACTTCGGATGGATAGAAGATATATCCGTGGAGCCCACAATGTGGCTTTACATGATGGCGTACATGGTGACCTCGGTTGTCGAGCAAGCACTTTTCGTTTACAAATCCTGCCGCGTCGATCACGGATACTCCGAGGAGATTTGCGCGAAACTGAACGACAATAACACCATAAAGGCCGAAGTCCAGGTATGTTTCAACCCTAACTATAATTTGAAATCCGTAATATACTTCGACGAGAAATGAATGCACGAAAATTAATATCGCAGAGGGTACGTATAAAAATGAAAAAATATTTCAATTCTTCGGGTGTTTCGTAAACGATCGACTAAAATTAAAAGAAGAATACTATGAAAATAAATACGCTTATTTTTCGTAGCGCGTTATCATAAGCTCGACGAATAAAAATGTGGAAAAAAAAAATATAAGATTACTTTGTCCATGAAAATTTTAGACGACCGTATCAAGTTTTCATCAATGGAACAATATAGCTGGCCACGTGGTGCCTATAATACTAGCTCTGTTTTTTGGGAACTGGAGCGATCGGCGTGGACGAAAGATGCTGCTCGTCCTGGGACTGATCGGCAAATTTATTTATTCTTTCATGATCGTGATCAATTCCATGATGGACACGTGGAATCTGAACACCATCGTGTACACAGCGAGTCTTCCAATGGGAATGTTGGGGGGCGACGTCGCCATTTTTGGCAGCTGTTTCTCGTACATATCGGACGTGTCCTCGGTTCAGCAGAGAACCTTGAGGATCACCATTTTGGACGTCGTGTACCTTAGCACCATGCCGACCGGTACATAAGTTTTCGATGTGTCTTTAGACATAATTGTTTAGAATTCAATATTTTCTATTTTGCATACAGGAAGAATTCCATCGCGGTCAATATTAATCGTTAATTTCCCGTTCCAGGCGTGGCTCTTGGATCATACCTTTTCACTAGCGTGGCCAAATCATCGTACACGATTATGTTTATCATAAACACAAGCCTGCTGGTTCTAGCCATTCTGTACTCGCTGATAAGACTGAAGTGGCAGACATTGCCACAACAACTCCCGCTTTCGGGCAGCAATTTTTTAACGGACTTCTTCGATAAGGAACACGTGGTCGAGACTATGAAAACGCTGACGAAAAAAAGGCTGAATAATGGAAAGCTTCATCTGTGGCTATTCTTGCTGATCATGATGCTCTATACGTTCCAAAGGGACGAAAAGCCCATGAGTTATCTCTACACCCAGCTGGAATTCAAATGGGACGTTACCAAGTTCAGCAATTTCCGAACATTCCAATCGACCACCTTCGTGATAGGTCAGTCGCGCTGAAAATCGACTTAGAAACCGATTCTACGCTCTCTCCGGTCGTTATTTCGTCAGAGTTCGACGCTCTGCGTATTTTATACGGAATTTGGATATGAAACTCATCTGACGGAAGTGGATCGTAAAGCGCCACATTATATGAAACTGTAACTCGACTCGACACGACCGCCGATTAGGCAAATGTTCGCCATTTTCCAAGCATCCCGAGCAAAAAGAGAAATCTCTGTTCTATTACTTTCACTCGCACAGATCGTGGCTCTCTAAGCCACAGCCAATTTCCACCGATAATCACGAGATCCTTTCATTTTCAGCGATGCTAATCGGAGTTCCAGTGATGAGCAAATGGATGGGAATGAAGGACACCATAATCGTGATGATCGGAGCGATTGCACACGCCGCCGGAAGAGTAATATTCGCGATGACGAAAATACCAGAATTGTTTTACGTTGGTAATTAAATTTATGCTTGGACTATTCGTGATAAAGTTTACAGAGAATAAATTCCAATTTTAATAAATTGTTGACGCTTTCAGGCGCTGCTGTTGCTGCGTTGGGTCCAGTGGTCGCGCCAGTTCTGAGATCGATGACCTCTAAACTCGTTTCCGTGGAAGAACGCGGTGAGCAGATTGCAAAACGTATTTCGTTTCGAATTATTCGCAATCATTTTAATGGGCCTTTATTTGCAGGAAAAGTATTCGCAATGTTGTCTGTTTGCGACAACGCCGTGCCGTTATTCAGCGGTATACTGTATTCACAGCTTTACAACGCGACCATAAACTCGATGCCCAGCTCGATCTACTGGCTGACGTTCGCCACTCAAATCTTAGTGTTCTTTTTCGTTCTGTGAGTGAAAGCCACGATGAAATCTAACTTTTGACGCGTTAAATGGCTTGCTAGCCCTTGGGGACCATTTTAATGGATCGTAACCATATTAAACGAACATCAGCTCGACGTTTAACGCGTTAAATACTTCAAAACCGATAGAAACATTCGTTGGAATGGTGGTTTCGTTTTTTGTTCCAGGATAATTCACTATTCTGTGAGAAATGAGCAGTATTTGGAGCACGAGGACTACACTGGCGGTAATACTGGGAGCTTGTCCTCGTCCTCGTCCTTGTCTTCTTTAAAATATAGCACAGCCACTAAGCACGATAAACAATAGCGTTGGAAAATCACGACGCGTATAGTTTAATTACAAATTTCAGGGTGAAATTACTGTTTGATAGAAATGCTCGAAGGTGGCGAAGGGGAGGGGGACTGCTAACAAAAGGAAGATTTTCATACTCTGTTTGTTATAGTTCGTTGCCTGCAGTTCGTCCTCCCTGCGTCCGCCATTTTTTTCAAGTACTGTTAACGATTTTTTGTACCTCAGTGCCTAGGTATTTAGGTTTTTAATGAAATATATACATGCTACGAAACCTATTCCTCGACTTCGCTGTAATAACTTCCCTGTGACTCTTTAATGATGAATTCTTTTCGCACGATATTAACAGGCATAGGAAGAAAACCAGTAATCGGTTCAATAATAATACCACTACACGGCTTAATATATCTGTGACGTTTAGCATAACGAGTGGAAACGTTGAAGGTTACATCCGTTTCCTTCTACGTAGATTTACCGAGGAGATCTAGATTTATCAGCGTCTAGGTACATGAATCAGACAGATCCACTGCAATTGGACACTTACGAATGCACATTTCATTAAACGGTGGAGTGATTCACGGCGTAATCGATGATCGATTTTCGCGCGTCAATGAGACGTAATGTTTTTCTTAAATTTCTTTCGCGATAATCGACCGCGATACGTATACGAAATCACCACGACCACGTGTTTAACTTTCGACGAACTGATTGCTATTCAGCGCGTGCTGAGGGGCAAGCGTGTCAAGGATCGATCGCGAATTGTTGTTTACGGTTCGATATTTTCGACAGAGTGGCTCTGCCCTGACGCGATCTACGCTTCGTCAACCGCTTAAACTCTGGGCCAAATTATGATTTTTCTTGACAAGAAACCTGGAACAAGCAATCTTTTTAAACATTTTAAAAACCATTATAAAAAAATTGGTTTTGCAATCGGTACCATTTAAAGAAAAAAAAAAAATTGACGCCTACTAACATTAACATCAAACCGAACAAATAATTTAAATATATTTAAAATGAACGAAAATCGGTGAAAAAAGGCAAAAATTTGAAAAACGATTTAACGCAATAATGAATCTAAAATAATTTGTTAGATGTTTCTCGCAGGACGATTATTTCGGCTCGATAATAGTCCGAAATATTCGGTCAAGACGAAGGGAATAATTATTCAGGGTGAAAATCAGTGTACTGGAACGACTAATCCAATCTCCAGATGCAAAGCCCATAGAGCACTTATGGGATTACATACAAGTTGGATTCACGGTTACTCGCCGGCAAAATTAAATTAAAGAAATCATGACGCTTTAATCCCGAGTGCTAATGCACTACCGGAGTTAGGTGATTCGATGTCACGTACTTAGGTGACAAAGTGTTATTAAAGCAAACTTCTCTGAAAAAATCACGCGGAGAGAATGCAAAGCGGCTTAATCACCGATTCATGAATTCGACGATATTTCCTCTTCGCCAAAGCGTAAGATTCTCCGAATCTTCGTTCTGTAAACTAATTTCAATTGCAGTAAACATTCGTATTTATAGTCGTTCTAACTTTGTAGCAGTTTTTTTACCACGCGAATATTAAATTGACCAGAAGGATACGTAAATTTGTATTCGTTGTTCCGAAATAAAATTCACCCCTACTCTGATTGGAAATGCAGATGCAGTATCCACGCGATAATAGACGATACGTCGAAATTGTATCGAACTATTGCGAAACAATTAATTTATTCGAACCAGAAACCCTTTATGCCCGCAGTCGCGAGAGTCGCACAGACGAATAGTGACAAATAAGGTGGCTTTCACGTTACGACATTTCTATGACGCAATGTCTAATGAATTCCATGTTGAATTTAGAGACACACGGAAGGAAAAACTAGTTTCGCGTTAATTTTCTTTATGCAAGCGACAAATAAGTATTTCGTAATCGCTAAAAACATCGAAACGAGCGAACATCGTTTGTAAATAAAGTTGCTCCCGCAGCTTCACTATAACAAGGTTCTTCGCGTCAAGTCATTTTCTGAGAGAAATTACTAACGTTGATATCAGTTTTTGGTTCGGATAACCAAAACGTGCCGTTTGAAGTTCACGAGATAGTGGCAAACCTTTATTCATCATATTTCGATTAACTATATCACAAACTTTAATATCAAGATGAATCATTGAACATTCCTCGGAAAAAATTTTAATGGGGGATTCTAGAGGCTACAACAAAGCGAAAATCAAGAATACCAATTTGTTGATGGAGGCTTCGTTAAAAAGTTATTAACAATTAAATTCAAAAATTTGAAATCGTTCTGGAAAAATTATTTTCGGTTGTGGGGGTCAATTACAATTATTTTTGGTGAATAGACATACCCCCGAAATCCTACCCACTTTCTAGAAAAAAATTCGAGAAGGTGTGAAATTTTTCGACGGAAAAAAAATTTTAAATCGTTTTGGAAAAATTATTTTCGGTTGCGAGGGTTAATTACAATCATTTTTTATCATTACACATATCCTCGAAATCCTACGCACTTTCGAGTAAAAAATTCCTTACCGAAATCTAATTAGGTACCTAAATTTTTCGACGAAAAAAAAAGCTATCAAATCATTCTGGAAAAATTATTTTCGATTGCAGGCGTCAATTACAATCATTTTTGGTGAATGGACATACCCCCGAAATCTTGCGCATTTTGGAGAAAAAAATTCAGTACGGGCGGAACTCGTAAGTCAGTAAAATAATCGTTAACAAGCATAGAAACACAGTTATAATTTCTGATTTCTCGAGACACTTAAATCTAGGAAGACATAATAAATGTTAGCAACGAAGAATGATATTCTGTAAAAATATGTAGAAAAAGAAAAAAAAGAAAGAAAATGTACGATTATAACTTATATTGAATACTACGTTTCGATCAGGCGATTTGAGAACCAGGAATGCAATACAAACATAGGCATCGAGTAAAATAAATTTAAATTAGTACGATTAATATATTAAAATATTTTACATCATATTACTGATCTCGCGTGAAAATACAGTATTCGAAAAGGGTCCTCCAAGATTATTTTTTTTCGAGTTCTGTTATTTTCCGCCGAAAGTAAAATAATCATTCTTTGCATAACATTAAAAAATAATGTGTTTGCAATATAGACATGTATAGGCATTATATCAATAGCCCAGTTTTATAAACAAAGAAACGTTTCAAATTCTAAACACGATCCGTGAAAGTTAACTATTTCGATCCGCATGTACAGTAAAAGTAAAATTATACTATGAATATGGCTTCTTAAATACGTACACGTTCAATAATCAACTTAATAAAGATAAAAATGTATTTAATTACCATTTTTGAAGCAACATGCGCCGAATTGTGAGGAACAGTCACTTCATGAATTGTGGTCCTTTGCCAAGACGCCTCGGATCCGCCATTGTTTGTACATCGACGTTCGATCCTGAGAATGTGAATCTTGAAGGGATGCGGGAAAAAGTCAACTGCACTGTTGTTCCATTGTTCCATACGATCTAAGGCACTAAGAGATGGACGAAACGATACGAAACTAATTTATTTTTTCCTTTGCGCTTGTTTGTTCATTGATTTAAGTCGCGATAAATCACCGGATCGCGCGAAATAACAGTTCGTCACCAGGGCACGTGACCGTCTACCTAGATACCTACTTAACAATGCAAATGGGGAACGAAGACAACGCACGCCATCTCGAAGACAAATTATGTAAGATCGATGTAGTCGTTTTGCACAGAACTTGCCCTTAGCAATATTTCGCGCGACGAAAAATAGCCTAAATACTTTTCATAAACGATAGTTATATCTTCTATTTATTTTGTAATCATACCCGAATATGAATTAACTTTATTTTCTCCCTAATACGGAAATGTATTTCGTAAGACGTATCGGAATGAAGAATCATTTTAGTTTAAATCTAACCTATCATTTTTATATAGTTTTAATTCTATAACCTTCGTACGTACATGACTTTTTAAACTTATTAAATATTCTATATCCTATTGTAGATTGTCATAATAATTGATATAATTGTTCTGTAAGAGTTGAATAACTTTTCATTCTTTACCTTGTTTTTAGTAAACTTTCATGACACGGATAATCGATTGATATAATGTTGATCGACAATGTTGATAGTTAGATCATTCTTTACTTTTTCGGTGTCGAATCGGACGTTAATTTCTTTTCGTTGTTTATAATATTTCAAGTATAAAATATGCAACATGTCAAACTTTGATCTCGACTAACAATACATTTGATTCTACCACGCAACTGATATTGCCACTAACCTTTCTTTCGATGAAATGAAAACACAATCGATCACAGAAATACAGTTCACAGCGTGAAAGTGCATTTTCAAATATTCTTGTTTTAACCACCAGATCTTCGAGAGCCCGCAACAGATGCCACCGTACAACTAACTTATTCTGCCGACTGCGAACGCGTGCAACGATCGCGACCATAGGACGTTCCATAGCAAGGTGAAGTTGGATCTAACAAAGCTTGACTCGTGACCAAAATTTCATTGGTTCAATATGTTGACACCACGCTGTAACCAGGGATGTATCAAAAGGTATCGAAATGTTGTAGTAACCTAACACTAACGTCGATTAAGTAAATTAAAATTATGTGACCTCGTGTAAACACGACTTTCGTGCTTGACGGTGCCGAAAATTTATTCTGAAGAACAGTGAAATAAACAACCTCAAAAAAGTGAAATAAGTGTATCGATCTTTTAGCAGAAAAGAATCTCGAGCATAGCATTACCAACATAGACAAATTATAAAATAATTCGTGGTTATTTATACATATAAATGACATCTTAATTTCAACATATTCAGGGTACGTATAACCTGTTGCTAATACGGTCCTGCGTAGTCACGTGGTTTCGCCGAATTCATTTCGCGGTCTTACAAAACGTTCGTAATTAATCATTATTCGCCAAATTAATTTTTTACACGCCTTCGTATCATTTTCGTATGACAACAAATCGAAAGTAACTTTGTTCGTTAGAATCTGCAAATATCTATTTTATTATTCGAAAGTATTGAGCCACCTAAAGAAGGACGTTGTCGTCCCAAATCCAATTCAACCTAAATTTAGTTCTCGACGGTT